AGCTTTTGTGCATGGACACGGAAGAGTTTACATAAAAGCTTCAGGAGCATCTTAACTCAGTCAGAAACTTCAACCTTTTCAGAAAGTAACCTGGGCATGCAGAAACCTAAAACGCCCACACGTACCCTCCAAAAGTTTAAGTTTAAAATCCATGTGGAAATATTCTCTCTCATCTTTGCTATAAAAACGATCTACTAACATCTGAACACAACTTACATTAAAAATGGACAAAGGCTGCAGGATTTACTGATAGAGTCAGAATTAAAGCTAAACCTTCGCAACCTTTTTGCTTTTACAATCAGGGAGCATTGCCTGGAGGCTTGGATGAAGATCAAAAATATTTATTACACATTTCTTGTTTCAAGCATCAAAGTTTCCTGTAAATTTTCCATGCTGGCTCCAGCAGATTAAGACACACCACCTTTTCCTAACAATTCACCCAGGACCTGACAGATCTAGAAACAAGGAAATTAAGATGCCAAAGCTTCTGCAACACGGAAGATCATTGATTGTAATTCAGCAAACCAAAATAAAAACATGTGATCTCACTCCGTACATCAGTGCATATATACAAACAAAAAGTGTTAAGATTGCATAGGGCTACCTTGAATGCCAAACTCATATAAGGCAGAGACAAAGCCACCTACTTCCAACACTTCACAACAGGACATCTGCTCTTAAGGATTGACTCGACTGTTTCCTGGGTGCTTGAAGAGGTGGAATGGACATGTTATAATATTCAGCCACTGGAGCAGAACTTTCCAAAACTAAGCAAACCTAATTATTGCATTATATCTCCTACATATGAAAACAAACAAACAAAAATACTATTTTTCACCTCCCAACAGGAGCATTTCACGCTTGCTGCTGCTGGTTTTTGGGGCTTGCTCCAGAGCCACGTGCTTCGGAGGAGCTCTCAGGAGGTGGCTGGTCCAGCCCCCTGCCCAAAGCCAGTGAGCCAAGACTGCGCGAGAACCTGTCCAGCCAAGTTTGATCCTCTCCGAGGACAGAGGTTCTACAACCTGCTTCAGTCTTTGAATATTTTTGTTTCAATAGTGTTACCATTTCCGTAAAAAAAAAACTCAGAGAAAACTAACGCCTAGTGGGCAACTCATTAATATCTGCTAATCTCTCAAGCATGCTCTTAAAACAAAAGAAACACTGCAGTAGTGGCAGTGGTCAGTTTGTCCATCACACCGCTCATGCCTGCGATGGGAATAATATATTTTTGTCACTCGGGTGCAATTACTATCAGTTGTCAGACTGCTGAGCACCAGGATCGCCGGCACCAAGGGCTGAATTCAAGCAATAGGTGATTGGCAGGAACTATATATATATACTATATAATAACGGAGAGTGAAAGGAATGTAAGGGATGAGGTCGTGCCCAGCACGCTTTTGCAACAGGAGTCATGCGACTCTTTTGCATGGGCTGAGGAAAAAAAAAAAAAAACCAAAACAAAAAACAAAAAAACCCACACAAACAAAAAAACCCCAAAACCAAAACCCAACTGGCAGAGGGTAACGCACATTTGGTTATTGCTGACCTGAGCTGCATAGTGACTTAGTGGTTATAACTGTCAATCTCAGCTGCGACTTCAACAGCAAGAACGTGTGAGAGAGAGACATCTTGAGCTTTGTGTTTACCTGAGATATTGCTGTTCTTACAAGACACGTGGGAGGTAAGAAAAAAAAGAAATAAAAGAAGGGGTTTAGGTGTTCATGGTGGGTTTTTTTTGACAGAAGACATTTTCGAATACATAATTTATATTAAAAACATTCCCCAAAAGATAGCTGCTGGACTTATAGCTGTACTTTTCAAAATAATATACTTCATCAGTATTTTTTTTAGAAAAATGCTTTAAATTATTCACTAATTCACCTCTTGGGGGGGGGGGCTGGGAAGGGAGGGAGAAATCAAGCCATAAAGAATTAGCAGTATTAGAGGCTTAAAAAGATCTGTAAAAGGTAAAAATGTCCCTAGCCTGAAATGCATATAACCTTCCCAAGTTCTTCATACTCAGGGAAAGCAAGCTACACAAAATTTCCGTTTATTCCAAGAGGACACACAGACAACTGCTACTCTCGGATTAAGGGTCTGCCAAATACTCCTCTTCTGCAAAAAGGAGCTGCAGCGACTCTTCCAGCCCAAAGAACACATCCCAAATAGGATGCAGTGAAGTCCCACAGTCTGCTTCAGAAAGATTTGAGGTCAAGACAAGATTCCGCCCTCCTCACCCCATCTGGCTGCCTGTATAAAGTATTTTATTCCAGATCTGCGCAGAGAGGGAAGAGGAAGATGAATTTCACATCCAAGTGGTCTCTGCATAATGAAGAGTGAATAAACTAAATGGCATCTTAAAACGGTTGAGCTTTTTCTTATTTGTTAAGAATAATTCATATAAGCAAAAATAATTCTTATATAAAACTGTCGAATTAAAACCTTCACTGAAATCTGTAACCTCTCAGGCAAACGCACAGAGAAGGGCAACATACCCACCACGGAAAGGTTTTGCAGTTCAGCGGTACGTTAGGGGAGGTATGTACAGCCTGGCTGGAACACAGACAGACAGGCACCGTGACCTGGAATTTGCTTTCTGTTATACCAGCATAATTTAAAGTGGGGATTTACATAACTATGACCAAGAAGAAAATCCGACCCAGCAGCCTAATCACCAAATTAGAATAATAATACAATTAATCTATTAATAGAGTTTACACTGTTATTTCACCTAAACAACACCAACAACCAACACACTGCTAGAGGGTGAAGATCTGAACTTGCACAAAGTTATGTACCTAAAACTCTTTATGCAGCAAAGGTTGGGCATTTTCTAGCTTATTCAACAGCGACGGGTTATAGTCTATCCGCTATATGGCACCGACTTCTGTATTGGTTAAAGCTACTCGCCCGTCTCAGTGGCTAGAGGTAAATGTATTCAAAACAGTGACTGAGCATCTGCTAAGAGAAAAAGGAAAAGGTGAAGCAGAATGAATCAGTGGAAGAGAATGAAATTGTAAAACCCTGCCTCGTAGCACGTTATTTCAGTTAGCCTATGAAAAATAAACAACGTCAAGTCAGCATAAACGAGTTTCCTGGGCTTTTTCCATTTTCTTCTAAACCTGCTTGTGGCATCATCATTAGTGCAATGGTTTACATGTGTATTCTGTATTTTTTCTGAACCCAGTGTGCAAACTAACAGAAGCGTTTGTCTAATAATTAACAGTTTTAATTAATGCTTCTCCTAAGAGAACGGCAAAACTCTCACATTTACTATTGACCTTATGCATAATGAAGAGAGTTTCACCTCCCTTCGTAAGTAAACTTCAGTTTCCTAAGATTTATCTTTACTGCATAGATTCTCTGACTTTTGTCTAAATTACAGTGAGCCACTCTCCTCTATCAGAGCTCCTGCTTCACCAATATTCAACATATAAATAAAATACAATTGTTTTGTGCTTGAATGAATGTAGAATGTCGGTCTGGTGTGCGTCTCTGAACTGCGCAGGTAAAACCTGCGATGTTGTGTGCACGCTTAAAAAGCCTTTCTACAAGTTACAAGCTATACACTATACACTGTATGTATCTCTGACTCTCACATCCAAGTCAATTGCATATTTTTGCATTTGAATAGTAATGTCCCCACGATAAGGTTTTAATTTCTAAATCCAAAGCATTCTTGATATGTTAACAGAAGTATAATGAGCACTCCTTAGTAAATAAAAATAAATAATAGCATCTAGTCTATCACATTAATACTGTGAAACATATATAAAATTTACATTAACTCAAACAACAGTGAAAAAGGATTGTACTGTATTTATCACCACAGACCCGTATTCTTTAGAGACTTTGGAAAGTAAGTGTCACAGTCCTGTATGACAAATTCTAAAGTTAGCTGTCAGTATGATTTTAAAAAAAATTCTTTACAAATTTTTTTTTTTTTTTTTTAAATGGCACATTTTCTTTTGCCAATCTAACTGGACCTATTAAAAGCTTAGGTACAAGTTCATTCTTTTTTAAATTTTTTCTTTAGCCTATGAAAAACATTTTCAAATGCAGCACAATAAAAAACATTCAAGAACAAGCTTCAGAAAATACATTTGCCCTTAGACACACAGAGAATAATCTTTGTAAGACAGTTGAAAACCAGATTTTTGTCACTCTTTTTCTTTGAAAATAAAAATTTTGTAAATGCATCTATAATAATCAAGGCTTCATAAATAGTCAAAAAATGGTTTGCTTTCCTTTGTATTAAAAGCTAATTCACAGCATTTTAGCCCACCAAACTTTAGTATGAATTAGATCTTTCCAAATTATTAAAAGCAATTCAATGAATAGCAAACTGAATGAGGAGTTCTGTGGGTTGGGTTGTTTTGTTTTTTGTTGGTTTTTTTTTTTTTTTTTCCCCCTAAGCCCTGAGATCACAGCTCTTGATTTAACGATAAAATATGGGTCTGTTTAATACCAAGCAGCTTAGAGATTTTTGGCAAACCACATTTCCAACAATAGCGGGGTTTGGTACAAGAATGCAGTTCATAATCAAGTCTGAAATTCTGGACGGAAGGCTTTCTTGCAAATGGGAAAAAAAGAAATTAAGATGCATCACTCATTGCTGGCTGTCACTGTAGCTTGGGCAACTGTTGGTCTAAGTGCAGCTGGTCTCATGTGAATCCAACTCTGTATTGTACTGAGTCGCTAAACATTAAAACATGTCAAGCAAAGTACATAGTGCGCAACGTGTCCTGATGAACTTGAACTGCTTTAGCAAGTGCTTGATGATCTCTGCCATTACTCTGCCCGGAAGTGTGGCTTCCTTCAGCACTGAAAGAGAAGGGAGGTGGAGAAAAAAAAAAAAAG